AACGTAAATATCAACAGAGGTTGTTCAGATATGGTGCCAGTCGGATGGAAAGGGTAACGTAAATATCAACAGAGGTTGTTCAGATATGGTGCCAGTCGGATGGAAAGGGTAACGTAAATAGCAACAGAGGGTGTTCAGACATGGTGCCAGTCGGATGGAAAGGGGGACGTAAATATCAAAATCTTGCTTAGGAATTAAAACCTTCAACCCTTGTTTTCCAAGCTAGTTTGTGATGTAGAGAGGGGAAGACACCCCTTTAATACTTAGCTTAGAAAGAGGGTTGCTTTTTCCTTGCCTAATTTCAAGATGGAGAGACAACCTTCTGATGCTTTAGTTAGAGAGAGGAAACTCCTTCCATGCCTAATATGTAGAATAGGGCACCCCTCTCATACCTAACCTATAGAGGAAACACCCATCTCACGCCTAATCTACAGAATAGAGCACCCCTGCCATACATAATCTGCAGAGGAGACGCCCCTCTCGTGCCTACTCTATAGAAGGTGAAAACCTTCCCATCCATAATCCAAAGAGAAAGACACCCCAATGCTTAATCTATAGAGGGGGGGGGGTGCGCTTATGATTTAATGTTTCTGCATTCTTTGATATCTTTGTAAGTTTAGTAATGGTGACACAGGTGGACTATCCCTTCCATCCTGTGATGTTGTTTAATATCACATGTGATGAATCTGGAGTTGTTTTAAATTTAATGTTCAAATGCACGTTTAAACTGTTCACTAGAGCTTGTTTTTCAAATACTAAATCAATCGAGCGTGGCCCAGCGTTTAGCGTGCTGGACTATGAAGCCGTGTGTCCAGCCTTTAAGTTCCGTTACTAAAACAATAATCGCACTCCGCACTTTCGGGACTATGGGTGCATCATAAGAGTTATAAGGTTAAATCCCAAGAGATGACAGTGGATGCTGTTGACCAGTCGTCTTTCCTGTAGCATATTAGCTAAAAATTAAAGACGATTGGCGCAGATAAAACCTTTGAGTAGCTTTGCACAAATATCC